TAGAGGGCAGTGTCACTGGCCCTCATATGTGGGATCCGAACCGGGGTCCTCTGGCGTCCCAAGCCAGTTCTTAACCATCGCGCCACTCGGCTGGCCCTATGCAATTCTTTTTTAAGTTAATAATAATACATATTGTTGCCCCTTTAAAATGCTCTCCTAAGTATGTAAGTAAAACTTAAAGAACAGCCTAGGTATTCTTAGTTTTGCTTTTTAATTGTATGAATGCCAAAAAAATATCTTCATTTTTTTAAAAAACATATATATTTAGTATGTTTAACTTTAGCTCTGTGTTTGAGATAGTTAACTCTGTAGTCAAAACCTGTGGCTCTTATGGATTTTTCTCCTTTTTAAATGGCTGTGAGGCAAATGTAACAATTCATTAGGATATCAATTTCTATCTCTTATTCTTTAGACTCAAGTGGGTGAGTTCCTGGGAGATAATGATAAATTTAACAAAGAAGTCATGTATGCGTATGTGGACCAGCACGACTTTTCAGGAAAGGACTTTGTTTCAGCTCTTCGTATGTTTCTGGAAGGATTTCGTCTTCCAGGGGAAGCTCAAAAAATTGATCGATTGATGGAAAAATTCGCTGCAAGATACCTAGAATGCAACCAGGGGTAAGCAAGATTCAAATTCAGGAACTTACTGGTTGCCAGCTATATCCAGGATACTGTGCTAGGGAGCATCGGGAGATTCATAACCCTCTGCCCCAAGGGAACTTGATTGTCTGCACTCTGAAAGTGATAAGACAGTTACATTAAAAAATTGTAGTATGAGATAGAATATAAATCCTGAAAAAGAAAATGAGAAGTGCTTTGGGGTTTGAGGTGACTTATTTAAATGAAACTGTAAAACAATAAGTTTATAACATGGTACATTTACTTTTCCAGACAAACCCTTTTTGCTAGTGCAGATACTGCGTATGTTTTGGCTTACTCAATTATCATGCTGACCACAGACCTTCACAGTCCACAGGTATGTTTCCTTCCAAGCGAGTTTTATAATAGTGCAAATTGAGTGAGTTCTTTGGAATTCAACTTCAGATGAAATTACTAGCTTTCTTTTATATTTTTTTAGTGCCATGACACAAGATGAGTTTTTAAAGTTATAATATGTTAAAAAATAATAAATTAACATTTGAAAACTTTCATGGTAATATTTTCAGATTTTTGTAAGAAAAGTGCTTCTCCCACCCTTTCTGACACACTAGAAAGACCTGTTTTTGGAGTAATCTGATCTAAATAAACGTTTGTATCCCAGTTACAGTCTCTGGACAGCCTGGTTTCTGCATAGCTATTTTTGCAAACTTCTGATGACTTCATTATTATTCTGTGTACCTTCTTGTAAATTTACAGGAGTCTTATCTTTAGAAAAGTTGGCTTTAATACTTTATAAAAGGTGGTAGAAATGTATTTAATTAAATAAATGTATCTTCAGAGACATCATAAGGCTTTTGGGTTTTGTGCATCTGGGTTTGGGAGATAAAACTGTAAGCGTTTTGGCGGTGCTAGTTCCCAGCTGTGGTGATGGGGCCACCTACTGTCCTGTAGACTGCAGACTTGTGCTCAGAGATGGATCAGGGGGTGCAGTAGGGCGTTCCAGCTCACTGCACTCTTCAGACAAAACAGCCCAAGGGTACTTCTCCCAGATTGCCTCATATTCAGTTGCCACAGTGAGTCAGAGAGATTATTACCTGATTTTAAGTAAATTTCAGCTGTTTTTATCCTGCATCCACTGTTATATAAAATCAGCTTTTAAATCATTAGCAACACATTTATGTTCTTCTGAACTCAGATTTGCATCTTTTTGATACGTATTTTTAATTGTCATGGTCTTTTTAAATAAGACTCTGACTAGAGCTCTTAAACCTTGGGCAAAAACAAATAATTTCATTTTCAGTTCTTCTTTTCTTATTACAATTTATTCATGTGCACATCAGAGCAGGTGAATCAGTCCAGGCCAGGATGGCACATTCCTATGTTGCCGTCGTTCTCTGTGACTTTTAATTTTAAAATATGTTTTTTTGAGTGTTTTCCACTTCCTCTCCTCAAAGTATTTGTAAATCCTCTTATATATGAGTATTTAAATTAAAATATGAGTGACTTTTTAATGTTAATTTTTAAATTAACCTTCTAGGTTAAAAATAAAATGACAAAGGAGCAGTACATTAAGATGAATAGAGGTATCAATGACAGTAAAGACCTTCCTGAAGAGTATCTATCGGCCATCTATAATGAAATAGCTGGAAAAAAGATATCAATGAAAGAAACAAAAGAACTAACGATCCCTACAAAATCAAGTAAACAAAGTAAGTATCCAAATCAATTGAATCCTGATTGTTCAGGAGGAAAAATATGAGTTCTTAAGTTCTTTTGGCTTAGAGTATTAGTTATTTCATGAGAAGTATTTTAATAGAGTTTGTTGTTGTTGTTTTCCCCCACATGCCGAAGAAAGATAGCTCTGACCAATGATTAATGGAAAATGCTACTTAAATATGCATGGGTTAGTGTGCGTTTAATTCATACTTGTCCTGTTAGCAGTTAATCTCAGCATGGATTTGGAGGTTAGAGAGATTGGTCAGGCAACCCAGATAAATTGTCAGACTTTAACCTCAGTCTTTTTTCCTGCCTCCTTATCATTTGCAAGCATCATATTTACATTTCTACACCTATTATTAACGTATAACTGAAGCTGGAAGTAGGAGTGATTTAAGGAGCTGGGGAGGGTTAGGATTGCATGAGAGCTTGAGGAGTTGAAGTCAGTACTGCAGACGCACCACAGCTCCACTGACGTAGCTTCCCTACATGTAGCCAGCGTGAGGAGCCAGCGTGGGCCTGGCTCCATCTAGACGTTCTACACCTGTAGGCAGTGGGAATTAAATTAAGGCTCAAATCTGACTACAGGAATGACGTGAACGCCGTGGCTTAAGAATAAAACAGTAATATGAAAAGAGGACTCCTGCCTTCCTTAGCACTTCTACTTGGAAATGAAATCTCAGGCTTTACCTGACAGAACAAATTATAGTAGCAAAATTATATGGGCAGGAGAGAAGCAAAAAGGCCTATGTGATGTATGTATTTCTACAAGTTGATGAGCATTATAAGATGAGAGTCGGGCTAGGGAGATGATATTAAAAGGAAGAGTGGAGCACAACTAGCCTTATCTTTTGGAAAAATATAGGGAATGATCCTAAGGAATTTTTGTAAGTTCTCGCTTATTTTATAGATTAGGAATCAAGTCCAGAGGTTGGGAAACAGAATCTGTGAGCTGAGTGTAGTGTAAAAACTTGTATTAAATCTCTACACCTAAAACCCAAAGAGTGGCAAAGCCAGATCTTGAACTTGGCATCCTTGGCTCTTATTTCAGTCCAGTACCAATCAGCAGTTTACTTGGTCGTGTTATTTTCAGTTCTTCTGCTTATACCATTAGGTATATTGATCAAGACTTCATTTTCACATCTGAGTAGATACAAGTGACCTGATTCAGTGTTTTTTCTCATACCCATATTATAACATCTTCATATTCTACTTTCTTTGGCCGATTTTGTATAGTGTGGTAGGAAATCAAGGAGCAATGGGATATGGGCAGGAGAGGGTGGTGTGCTGAAATAGTAAGGTCATCCTGGAGGGTCAGGGCCACTGTTCTCCTGGTAGCTCAGGAGACGCCATTCAAGCATGCGTCGTTCTCAGATGCCTTTCCTCATAACATCTCTTCTGTCCTGTATTTCTGTTTCCCCTAACACTTTCATTGTGACAGATTTGTACCTACTCTCTTTCCTTTGCAAAGGTTTTCCCCTTATCCCTGACTCCTAGTTCAGGATTTTGGTTTTCATTTTTGAGGTGAAAGTCATGTAACACAAAATGAATCATTTTGAAGTGAACAATTCAGTGGCATTGGCACATTCACAATGTTGTGCAACCACCACCACTGTCTAATTCCAAAACATTTTCATCATCTGCAAAGAAAACCCTGTATCCATTAAACAGTTATTCCACGTCCGTGTCCCCCCCGCCTCCCCAACCCCCCCAGCTATCCCAGTCTGCCTTCTGTTTCTGTGGATTTACCTCCTCTGGATATTTCATGCAAATGGAGTCATACATTATGTGACCGTTTGTGTCTGGCTTCCTAAGACTGTTTTTAACTAATGTTAATTGGTGATTATTTTATAATAAAATATCAAAATAGCATTTTTATTTACTTATTTATTTTTTATTGGGGAATTGGGGATGGCAACAGCGCTGGGGAATTGGGGGAAGGGGAACAGACAAGTTGCTGT